GAACTTCTTATTATTAATTTCATACCTGGATAAACGAAATGGTTTGTAGTCTCTGTCCATGCAGGCTCATATAGCCATGGATGTTGACGCGCCTCTAAACCCATTTAAAACACACAAAATATTGTCACAAAATGAAAACGAAAATAAACATAAAAATTTAATTATCCTTCGTATCAGTTCTTGTGTAGACTACCTATTGCACGCGCCGTCAGTTCTCCCCATAGATGTATCCTGCAGTGGAGACCTCAGTTCAGAACATGTATTTACCGCATTCCATCTCTGCAATGACAAATGCAGTCCTTTCATTTTCTCAGAGTAGTGACTAAAAGCACCGCCACCCATCAAGTCGTGCTCTTTTAAAGATCACATTATTTTCCATCTTAAGGCATCCCGGTATTACAAATCCCTCCATCGGAATGCCAGTAGAGCAGGCCGTTTCGTTTTGGACTGAGGTTAATATCAGTTCCACTCGTGCAAGGACCCTGTCTTATTATGGAGATTTTATAACCTCTTTTCGTTTTTTCTTTGCTGCACATTTTGTTAGAGCACTTCTCTCTAGTTCAGTCGGTATAGCGACAGACTGCAGGCTGGACATCGGTTCGATTCTCAGCAGGCTCCATAGCTTCCAAACTGGCTCTTGGGTTCGCCCAGCCTTCTATCCTAAGGGAATCAGGGGCTCTTTCCCCAGGGCAAGGCGACCGGAGCATGAAACTTACTACTCATCTCCATATAATGCCGATGTCAAGAATGGACGAGCTATAACTCCAATCCCCCATGCATCTTCATGACGCGATGTTTAATTGATTAAGTATAGGGACAAACTTACCATTATCCTTTACTTTTCTTCAGACATTACATAGCCTCCATCACGCAATAAAGTCAGTATGACGTCAAGCTTGAACCAAAAGATCTACATGGTAATAATATTTGATAAAAAATGCGTTGCAATACGATATGTTATCTTCTGACTCAGGGAAAAAGCAAAGCTACCCCTGTAACAGACCGTGAAGACCCGTAGGGTTGTGAGACGTCGAGGTTCCCACAGTTTCTCTAAACAGTCTGCTCACAGATGGCAGTAAGGATGTCAGCCTTACACGCCGGCTGCCCTTTACCCCACAAGAAGATTCCTGGTACTTACTACTGTTAGAGACTTAGTCGACCCCATGGCCATAATGCGGCTGGAAGGATTAGGCCAATTGAAAAAATCCACCTTATCGGGACTCGAACTTACGACCTTCCAGCTTGTAGCATAGTGCCTCAACCAACTACTCTACCGCGTGCCCCTTCTCGCTCAGACTTTATTCAAAATAAAATCGTCTCTCTCTCTCTCTCTCTCTCTCCGCACGTTCCTTCCATCCGTCCTGTCTCTCTATTGGTTGTTAACAAAAAGTATAGTAATGCATAAAGTGATATATTCCAAGGCACAAAAAGCCTGAGAAAATGTCGCTACTTAAAAACCACACAAAACACAATTGCGTAGAGTCGCTATTTATGCTGTCTACAATTTAGTCGTTAGGCAGATATAATTGGTCTGATACATTTACGGTCTAGTTGCTAGTTAGCCGATCCCAGTGGCCGCGCGGTCTAAGGCATGAACACTCTTCGCCCGCTCGAACATTTGGATCGTTGGTTCGAATCCCATTTAAGATATGGATATTTGCGTTTATATTGTGTTTGTGTTGTTCTGTGTAGGTAGATGCCTTGCGACGAGCTGATCCCCCGTCCAAGAGTCATACCGACTGTCTGAAATTAAGAAACTGAAGTGAATCGTAGTATTTCACAGATGCCCTATGCCCCAAGTGGGAACAACAGGAAAGAAATAGAAGAGAGAGTTGGTAGTTACAATGTAAGACCTAACCCGGCGCAGCGCTACTGCAATAAACAGAAAATATGCCTATCTGTGACATATTCTTGCGGGTTTAAAGCCTCAATTTAATGATAATGAAGAATGATTCAGTGTATATTTCTTGGAAAAATTCTTAATTTGCCAGTTAATATTCCGGAAGTATCCTCTCTCCTTTTCCATTACTTATGAAGTTTATTAAAGTTGCGCTGGGAAAGACCGTGTAACAGTTCTGTACACATAGCTGCAAGTTTTAAACAAGAGACTCTTAAAGATGCCTGATATGAAGAAACTAGAAATTTCACTACTTTACTAAAGTCTGGGTTTAGTAGAATCCGGCGAAAGAACGGGCAAGTTGGCTACTTACTTCGTAAACGTTAGGCCGTGTCATAACTCAGGCGGCTAGTCGCTAGCTTCCCACCGCCCCGGCCTGGGTTCGAGCTGGGGTCAGGTCATGTGGGATTTGTGGTGCACAAAGTGGCACTGGGGTAATTCTCTCCGAATACTTTGGTTTCTCCTGCCAATCTTCATTCCACCAGTTGCTCCACAGTCACCAGAGGCTGGTAGAATAGGCCAGTAGTGGGTGCAGTACCAAGTGGACTCGGTCTCAGTCCATTAAACCTAACGAAAAAATAAATAAAAATAATAATAAATGTAAATGATTTAGTAGTGTACGCGAGACCTTCAAGCAGATGGTCGTCGCTTTCCTTAGAATCTTTTATAGTTCACCTCGTGTAACATCTCATCTAATTAACATTAAAAGACTTCAGTTCATAGAGGCTAGTTAAATATATAAGTATCAATCATCATACCACGTGACTCCAGTCGGCGAAAGAGAGATGCATGTTGTAATATTAAAGAGCAATTTTAAAGTTCCCGAAAAAAAACATGGTTTTGACTATAATTTGCCTGGGGATACATGGAATATATGTTCACAACATTAAAATTTTGGTAGGTTAACTTTAATTTATTTCAGCTTCAAATTTCTGTAATTCAAAGAATAATTTATGGTTCTACTGCGTGATATATTTAAGCGTATTTCAGCGGCGGGTCCACTCGGCTTTCATGTACGTGGGTAAATTTGCTGAAAGTTTATGAGAGAATAATTTAACTAAAACAGGACCTGAAGATGGCACACATATGCCGAAACATATCATCTTAGGAACTGCATCTGCTGAAAATAGCGTTGTGTTGATATGAATATGATCTTATTCACATTTAAGTATATTTATCTTTGTATAACTTTAGTTTTGTCTCTAACATGAACATTTGCAGTCTGGGATGAGCATCGTGAAGTGCATCCTCCAAATATGTTCATGTCTCCCTTCATTTAAAGACGTTTCCCCAGATATGCGGTTACATAAAAGTGGATTGGACATATAATTGTGTAAACGTACAAGGAAATGGTCGTGGTATATTATGATTTATTGCCCCCAGAAATTTCCTGGAGGGACCAATGGAAAGAACGAAACGTCTTAGTCATGTTCATCGGGGCACCAGGCAGTTTCGCGCCTGAGACATCCTGACTACGATGCGGGCGGGGGCAGCCATCTATAAAAATCATCATCATGAACATCATGAATACTCTTCCTCTACTGTCACACCATTGTTAGCATTGACAGATTTAAGAAAATACTCAGAGCCTAATAATATGCCATATATCTTAAAATACATTTTTAGATCTCGTATTATTACCATTTTCTTCTTCTTCTTCTTCTTCTTCTTCTTCTTCTTCTTCTTATTATTATTATTATTAAAGCTAAAGTTATCTCTGTCCTTAACTAATTAACTAGGGGAATG